CCCCAAAACCCCAAAACCCCAAAACCCCAAAACCCCAAATACTTGCTATATTATGGTTTATAGTTTAATAAAGCATCCCTTGCCACGGTGAAAGATTCTTTGAAGTCTTCTTCAGTGAAGTTTCATTTTTCATAATGATGGACATATGCTTTGTTTCTGAACATCAACACTGATTTACGCAATGCCTGTTCAAGAGGATATGTAATCTGGCTTGAATTACTGAGAACAGTTCACGATTTTTCATGGCCATGGAGAGAATAAGAATCTTTTAATATCTTGAGTCCGGTGGTGATATCTTCACGGTAAAGATTTGGATCTTCCATGAGGGAGTAATCATTATATTTATAAACCTCTTCTCCTCTCATATACATAATGTTTCCAAATGATTTGGCCCATTTGGAAGAGTCTCGTGAGTTATTTTGAAAGCTTCTGCTAACTTCGTTAAGTAGCCCAGCCCAAGTAAGTGCATTGAACTGCTTTGAGTCATCAGGACAAAGAGGATAGCTATTCATTGTTAGCATATTAGTTTGAGGTAAAATTCCTAAATGACTGATTATATCATTTGTATCAAACCCTCTCAAAGCTGGATGCTTCTCTTCAGTATTAGCTCATGGGAAAAATACTGACAAAAGTTTTTCAGAAATAACAGTATTGATATCTTTATAAGTAGGATTCTTAATTTTCTTTCCAATTTTTCACAGTTTTAGCTCCTCGTCATTATATAATGAAATTACTCCATCACTATGCTGAATCAATCGAGACATAGTAAGAATTGAATTGTAGTTTTGAAGAATGACTTCTCCTGTAGAATATGGCCAGATGGCTACATTCATCATATTCACCTTTGGGTTATGTATTTTAATTGCTTCGACAAGATGGGTTCCAAAGCCACTCCCTGTTCCTCCTGCTAAGCTCTGAAAAACGAGGAAGCCATAGAGATAATCAATTTTCTCAATCATTTTTCTAATGATTTCAAGTAATTCATCCCCATATTCTGTATCAAAAAGGTAATAACCATATGCCCAATTGTTTCCAGATCCATGCTGTTTAGTGAAGGAGAATTTGGAGTTATAATTCCATAATTCGTATTTTGAAGAGTCTTCTATTCATCTATCTACAACTTTTGGTTCCATATCGATAAGTACGCTATTGGGAAACGGACTACCTTTGTCTGGAACCTGGAAGTATTGATCAACAATTTTGCTTCTAGTGAATTCTGAATATTCATCCCATTGGTAAGTCATATCATGCATGAATTTGCTCGCTACTTGGTTACCTCACTGGCCTATTTGTAAATTCAAGATGGACATTTTGCGCAATTTTATAATTTTAATCAATTTTGATATCATAATTTGGGGTTTTGGGGTTTTGGGGTTTTGGGG